ATGCTCAGTTCTTGATGTAATGATTATAGGAATATGTTTTTTAATACTAATTTAATCTTGTACTTAGTGTACCAGTGATAATTACTGTTATTATGATTGTTGTTTTATGTTTTGTCCTTCCATTTAGCTGATGACATGCACAGATTTGATATCACTTTATACACAGTCCGTTCACTATCTGTGCACATTTACTCAGGACTGCACTTAAGTCACTTTGCACATATGGTGTAGAATCTCTTTTGTGCTGCATGAAGCTAGGTGGATATTTTCTATGTTCCTCCTAATGTTACACTCGGTATTTGGAGTGTTTGGGACTATCTTCGGCTTGCTGCCGTATGCATTCACTTTGTTTCGCTAGGTTGCTTGGCAACCCGTGTCACGTACGTCAGACGCATGATTGCACGTGGGTCTCTCACTTCCGGGTTGCTCAGTCCGGCGGCTGTTTCATCACTTGATTGGTAAGCTTTTTTTACATTTATGTATATATTGTCACTCATTTATTGTGTCACTGTGATCTTGATAAAGACCCCAGGAGGGTCAAAACGTTGATCGGTGTGTACCTCACAGTTGATGTATTTTTTATAATACTTTAAAGTAAATCTTTTTCACTAATTTTAAGACCCAGTGTGCTCCCTGAATTACAATTTTTGGATATATATATATATATATATATATATATATATATATATATATATATATATATATATATATATATATATATATACACACACACACATACATATATATATATATATTTGTGCTCGGAATTTAATATGTAATGGATAATGTCAGAGATAAAAGTTGGTTGTGGTGTGCCGAAACCAACGTCCGAGTGGGCCTGTAAATAAAAGAGGGCCCACCAAGGAGAATTGTATGTACTAAGGGTGTCGGTGGGTGGGGATCACTTGAACTCGAACGTCAGAGGTGAGTAGGGGCTGGGTGTTTAAGTAGGGGACTTCCTCCTCCCACAAATTCAGGCCTAATGGCCTTTTAACTTGTGCTCGGAATTTAATATGTAATGGATAATGTCAGAGATAAAAGTTGGTTGTGGTGTGCCGAAACCAACGTCCGAGTGGGCCTGTAAATAAAAGAGGGCAAAGAGAAATTCGGAAAAAACACACTTTATTGCATTTTGTTTACATGACTAAATTCCTGAAGGCTTGGCGAAGTTCTCTTTCTGGCCGTGGAATATACGTATTGTATATAGAGGACTTCCAGCGGCCCAGTCTCTTTATGATGTGGACCGGTGTGTTAGTGCTAGAAGCTGATGAAGCGGCCCCTATGCGAAAGGAATGCCCGGAGAATGAAGTTGGGTTGTAACCCAATTTTCCCAGTAGGATTCTGACATATGTGGTGAATTTTGCTGTAGTGAGTGGGTGCCCTTGCAGTTGTAATAGTGGTGAGTCTGGTAGGTGTGTGCTATAAGCTGACCGTAACGTGTCTAGTGTCTTAACTGGACACCAAGCATTGTCTGTTGGAAAGAGAGGAATAATAGTGGGGTGTAGGGATTGATTTGTTTTGGTAGATGGGATTGTGAGAATGTAATAGTCGTCTTTTTTAGTGAGTTGTGAGGTTTTGAGGCTGTGAGTGGTATCCCCTTGACAAACAACAGTAAATTCCCTAAGCCTTAAGAACCCATAAAAAGCCAAATAGATTGCAGATTTGATCACCAGGTTAGTGTTGGGATCAAAAGGGGATTCGTCGAGGAGGTTGCTCAGCAATCTAAAGATAGGCCCATCTATAGGTAGTCTGGTAGTGATAGGTGGAACTGATACTTTAGAGATCCCCTTTAAGATTTTCTTTATGGGGTAAGATGATAAAAAGGGGGTGTTGTTAGGGAAATTTGTGAGGCTGTGGTGCTGCACCCCCGTGAGGTATAATTTTATGGTGTTGTGGGAAAGTTTTAGATGTAAATGGCAAAAAGAGGCAAAAGCCACCATGGTTTGGGTTGAGAAATCACCTTGTAATCCAAACTCAGCAGTAAATTTGTTGAAAATGGTGAGTGCCCTACTGTAGGTGATAGTAGTGTTTGGTGACAGTGCTTGGTGCGTAAGTGTCCTAGCGTGGTGCATCAGTGTGTTTAATCCAAGATTAGCTCGTGAAAATTCGGTGTGGTTGATGGTTGATGGTGGGCTGACGGGAGTGCCTGGAAAAACACCTGAAATTGAGATCGAGACAGAGCGTCAGCGGCCGTGTTGTGAATACCCGGGATGTGAAGGCAAATTAGGTGGAACTGGACGGTTGCTGCCAACCAGGTCAGCTTGCGAATCAGCCTCATAATGGTAAGAGAGGATGAGCGCCCTTTGTTGATGATATCGCAAGCTGACGAGTTGTCGGAATAACATTTTAGTGCCTTGCCGGACCAGAGGTGACCCCAAGTGTGTGCGGCTGCCACAATGGGGTAAATCTCAAATAGAGCTGAAGTTTCTCTAAACCCCGGCAAGGCATCCGTCTCAGCTGGCCAGTGACCCCTAAACCAGTGATTACCAAATATGGCTGCAAAACCCGTGTTGGCTGCCGTGTCAGTGTAGATGCAGGGAGAGGAGTCTGAGAGGGGGGGAATAAACATGGAGATACCATTCCATAGGGACAAAAACTGCCCCCACATGCCTAGGTCAGCTTTGGCATGCTGGTCCAACGCAATTGGGCAGGCGTCCGGTACCCCGTGAAGCAGACAAAGGAGCCTGGACACAAAAGATCTGCCCTGCGGAACGATGCGCATTGCAAAATTCAGGGACCCCAATAAGGACTGAAGTTCTTTCCTGGTGCATACATCGCTCCGCAGGAACCTGTCTATTTCCCCTCTCAGGCGGATGATTTTTTCAGTGGGAAGGCTGGCTCGGAAGGTGGCAGAGTCTAGCTCTATGCCCAAGAAAGTGAGTTTGGTGGTGGGGCCAATTGTTTTAGCAGGAGACAAAGGAACACCGAGAGTGGAGAAAAGTGCAGAGGTGCTGAGGATATCGGTGGGTGTGTGTGTGCTAGGTTCTATGATGAGGAAGTCATCCAAGTAGTGAATAACAGCGTGACACCAAATAATGTTCAGAAGCAGCCAGCATAGCGTTTCCGCAAAAATATCAAAGAGTTTGGGGCTGCTTCTGGAACCGAAAGTGAGGCGCGTGGAAAAATAGTACCTGTTACGCCATTTAACACCGTGCAAGTGCCAAAGTGATGGGTGTATGGGCAGTAGTTTGAAAGCATTGGTAATGTCTGTTTTGCTAAGCCAAGCGTTGCTGCCAGTTGATATGATGGTTTGTATGGCGTCGTCTATTTTAACGTATTGTAGTGAGAATTCGTCTGCGGGGATGAGTGCGTTGATGCTAGGAACAAAAGAGGAGTGCGGTGCC